CCATGAAGAATTTCTTCCTAATGTCCAGCTTAAATTTGCCCTGTTGCAATTGAAACCGTTCCCCCTGGTTCTGTCCCTAATTACCTGTGAGAAGAGACCAGCACCAACCTCTCTACAATGTCCTTTCAAGTAATTGTAGAGCATGATGAGATCCCCCCTCAGCCTCCTCTTCGTCAAAGTGAACAGACCCAGCTCCCTCAATCGCTCCTCATAAGGTCTGTTCTCCAGGCCCTTCACCAGCTTTGTTGCCCTCCTCTGCACTCGCTCCAACACCTCGATATCTCTCTTATACTGAGGTGCCCAAAACTGAACACAATACTCAAGGTGTGGCCTCACCTGTGCTGAGTACAGAGGGACAATCACCTGCTAAACTAAGCTGCATGACATGAGATTGAGACGTAATGGTCATAAATTGAAATGGCAGGTTCTGACTGGATGCAAAGGGGGAGGAAAAAAAGTTCTCAGTAAAAATAATAAAGTACCAGAACAGGTTGCCCAGACAGGCTGTTCTTGGAGGTTTTCAGCACCTTATGGACCAGAACCTTAAGCAACCTGCTCTGAGTTCATTCATGACTCTGCTTGGAGCCAAGAGGGTGCAGCAGAGGCCTCACGAGGGCCCTTCCAGCCCAAACCACTCTGTGACACAGAGTCGAGAGGCCAGGTGTCTTGCTCCAAATCACATACACGGATTAGGATTTCAACCCATGTTTCTTAAATTCTGGGCATCTAAGTCAGTTGCTTGTCTCCTGCTGGCTCCACTGAACATCAACCTTCTGTCTTCAGGTGGAAACTCAGAAGGTCTCTTTAGTGTCTCCAAAACCACAGGAATACTCACAATAACAAGAGACTTATCCAAACAGACTGCTCCCCTCTATTACCCCTTGGTGGTCACTGCAACGGATTCAGGTCTGCCGCCTCTTTCAACTTCTGCAAAGGTACTAAAATTTTTGCCTTAGTGTCTTATTTGCTCAACTGTTCTAAACTGAGTGTAACTACACCAGGAAATGGGTATTAGCAAGGCAAAACTATGCAAAACGGGAATTGGAATGTCTGAGTCCTGCTTTTGTTTCAGGAACAGGGTACAAGATGGTAACAGTTACAAAGTTCTACTGCCTTAGCAATTGCTGGCACATCAGCTATCATTGTTTTGATCATGCCATTTCAGAAAAGAAAAACAGACTCCAGACTGTGAGGGAGGAAGGTTAAGAGGAGTGGTGACTTGTGTGCAAGGTCAAAGAGGGGACGTAGGGGAAGTATGCGACAGAATAAATAGGAGGCACCAAGTAAGGTGTTCCTGTTCATTTTCATATAATAAAAGAAAGAATAAATTCTCAGTTGAAGACTGAGAGATGTAAATGTGATGAAATAAATATTTTATTTTTTTTTACACAGTGCATATAACTGGCTGGTGATCTTTTGCCACTAAATAGCATGGCTTAGCAGAATTAAAAAAAAAAACAAACTAGAAATGTATGTGGATAAAGGCATGTAGAAAATTATGTTCAACAGAACCTTAAAATGCAAACTTTTGAGCCCTCATTCTTCAGAATATTGGGCAGTAGCTGTCTGGCATCATTTAGAAAAAATTATCTTTATTTTTCTGAAGCAGTGGGTATTATTTATTTACCATCTGTCACCTTTTTCATCTATAAAGTCAGTTATAACAATTTTAAAATACTGTACTTCCAAGCTCCTGCCCTGATCATACATTCTCCAGTGGAAGAATTTGTTGCAAATACAAATCAGCACCTCTCTCTGAGAGCTTTTCAGCAAGTCAGTTAATTCTGAGAAGTACTGAACATGACGAACGAGAATCCCTCTTTGTAATTAGGGAAGCGTATGGATGACCTAAACCCCTGAGGTTGCTGGTGTTTTTCACTAACTTTCGCTGCCTTCAAGGCATTAACATGTCAAACAGCACGCAGCACTCATGGACTCTTTCTTGCCAACAAAGTTCTGAACTTCCGCTGTTGCACACCTCAAAAGAAAAGTCTGCCCAACCTGAAAACATAACCCCCGTGGTCATGTCCTTTTCTCTGCAGGTCTCAGTAACAATAGCTCCCGTCAACTTTTCCCTCCCGGTGTTCTCAGTATCAGGCTACCAGCCTGCCCCTCTGAGTGAGAAAGCGCTGCCGGATACGTTTGTGGTACAGATCAGCGTGTTGTACAAGGCCCCTGTGATCTACGAGATCGTATCTGGAAATGAAAAGGGTAAGCTCCGTACATGAAGTAACAAGGGAGAGGGTGTGTTGAGCAACAGGCGCTGCAGAGATTTTTTTGGTTGTTTCTTCTCTCTCTCCTTTCACTTTTATCTCAGCCATTAATACTGGATGCGTATCAACCAGCGGTACAAATTTGGTATGGATCAGGTGCGGGCACATGACAGAATTTCTGTCAGATTAGAGAGAGCCACATGATACAGAACTGGCTGCGCCAGATGAGTGCTTTGTCTGCTACAGGAAGATCAGGCGGTACCTGGTCAGGCATAAAGTTATGGTGACTGGAGAAGGAATAGCTCATTCAACACAAAGACTGCTGACAGAAAAACTAACTCGACAACATTTTCTTAACAAATGTGAATGCGTAGAACGTTTACATGGTTTTGGTTGGATCAGTGCTTTGTCATGTGTCTTTAACTGAATATAGAGCTGATTTTATGGTATTGTATTTCTTTTTTGTGAAGTGTTTGGTATGAAGTTGTAGTCGCCTTGAAGTGATTTCCACAGTTGCTCATCTTCAGCAAGAACAGGACTTCATATGAAATAAAATAACTTCTGACTGAGACAGGGACAAACTCAGTGTTTCAGAGGAAGGTGGAGAGTGGTGGAGTGAACTTACTCCCCTTTGGTTCCCATCTGACCTTCTGAACTATTTGATTTTGTTAATTACGGCCCTGGTTATATGTGACATTCTCATAAATTCATGTTGAATTTTATTTTGTTCTTTGAAGAATACTGTAACATTCATATTCATAATGCATAGTTTGCATTGAAGGGTTTGTATCTTCAGCTTTAACTAATGAAATCATAAACAGAACAATTTATGTTTTTCTTAAACAGAGTATTTCTTTATCAATTCATCCACTGGTATTGTAAGAACAAAAAAGAATTTGACAGTGGAAGATTTTCCAATCATTTTCAATGTGCGAGCAACAGATTCATCTCATGCTGGCATATTTAATGAAGTTTCTGTGAAAGTAGAAGTTATTGATGAAAATGATTTCCCTCCAGTTTTCCCATCCTCTCTAGTAGAAGCAACATTGAAGGAGGTAAGAAAAATGTCATCCAAACTGAATGACAAAAGGCCTCAAAATAATAATTATTAACCTGGTCCATTTCCAAAATTGAGTGAAATACAGGTTTAATTATTAAACCTCTTTTTAATGTTCCCAGTTAGTTTAATGGAGAATGTTAGAATCACATTTCCCCGCCTTAGAAATTAATTTCCATCTGAAATATTCACATGGTAGGAATTGCGGGATGCCCTGTTGGATCAAATCAGATCAGGTCTCAAGTGGCTCTGCAAGTAAAATGGTGACATTTACTGTCAATCTTTATGCAATTAACATTTTGAAAATAGATTATTTGTTTTGAAAAGGGTAATTATTAGCCAAATAGTGTTCAGAGAGAAACATGATTTTGAAGTTGAGAACTTCCATTGAGTTTCTAGGAGTAGAGCCTGTTAAACATGAATAATTCCTCAATAGCAAGTCTGTTTGAAATCATGGTGATTTTTTCTTCCTGAAGTTTTCTGTTGTAGGTAGAGACATGGTGAGAAGTAGTTCTTTTTGTAAATGACAAAAAACAACCGATTCTGCTGAACAGGTTGTAGAATTTGGATTTTAAAATGTCTGTGCTATTGTAAGTGTATGCAGCATCTATTACATCTCCCTTTCACATAATTCAAGACATTGCAGCTCACGAGTCTCTGACAGCCTCAGTCTGTTCCTCATCCACAGAATTTATCCGCTACTCCGATTGTCCAGCTGAAAGCTCAGGATAACGATACAGGTAGCAATGGCTTGCTAACCTATGGCATTCTTAATGGAGGTGGACTAAAATTCAGGATAGATGAAGCAACTGGAACTCTTTATTCCACTGCCCCCTTTGATTATGAAGAGGAACCTACAGAGTATCAGGTTTGCTTTAGATTTCTTAAGTCTTCACTATTCAGAACTCTTTATCTTTCCCTTGGGTAACACGCAACACCTTTTGGTTTTGTTTAGCTGGATATTGCTTGATCTTACTTTGCTTCAAGCAAAAACATTGGGGAATTTGTTGGTTCTATATAAAAAGACAGTTTTAATTGACCAAATACTCCTTAAGTTTTTTTAGTCATTTTCAAGTGAGTTCATAATTTGACTATGGATTTCTAAAAATACTCCAAAGTTTAAAATGCACCAAGATTTTTTTTAATCTTTATGCAAGTACCTATTTGTATGACTTCTCATTACCAATAATTGTGTGGCTCACAGGTGGTGGTATATGCTGAAGATCATGGAATCCCTGAGAAGAAAAGAGGTTACTGCACAGTTGTGATAAAGATCATTGATGTTAATGACTGTAAACCTGTCTTTGATCCAGTGGCTGAATTCAGTGTAAATGAAAATGCACCTGTGGGATTCATAGTTGGAAAAATCACAGCAAAAGACAATGACACGGGAGACCATGCCTTTGTTCTGTATAGCCTTACAGGTAACAAGGAACTTTCTCGCTGCACTGCAACAGCTGTCACTTTGTTGTCTATACTGTTACAAGTGTAAATAGTATTATGTGTGTTATCTCCTAACTCCTTTCCACATAAGCCAAGAAGGTTCACTTTCACCTGGTTTGGTATTTTACTAATTTATGCTCATACAGCTTTCAAACTGATTGAGTTGGGAACGTCCTGTGCAGAAACTACAAGTTGTTCTGCTCTAAATCATACCCGATTCTCTAAAAAAATAATCTTTTTTTCAAAACTCCTGCCATAGCTGCAGTCAGCAGGAGTAATCTTGATGAAAAAAAAAAATGCCGATAGCCACCTCGAATGAGGAATAAGGATCTAGAGCCTAACTGATGCCTGCCTTGTAGAACTCGTTGTGCTTGTGCCGGGTATTAAATGCTGCTAAATTAAGCCTCTCCTCAGCCTGTGGATTGCAAGCATATCACAGCTTCTAGGAGCAGATATTAAATGGTATCACAAGTGTGTCGGGGACCTGTTTCATTATTGATGGCTGCTAGAGAGCTGTGGTTTTCCCCCTTGTGCTGGCCACCTTTACCTCTGCAGCAGGAGTGCCCCAACAGACAGCAGGTCACCTCTTCTGCCACCTCGGATCTCTGCCCAGGTCATTCATATAAAGTGTCTTTCAATTTCATTTTACGTTAATGTGCTGGTTCGTCAACTGCAGTGACTGAGCGCTCTGACTCGTGCTTCCTGTCCCATTTAACTGGGGTAGCTCATGGCATTGCTGTTGAGAAGAGCACTCCTGTTGCCTCGGCCCCTAAATCTGCCAGAGATGGAGATTTAGACCCCTCTGGACCACATCCTGCAGGAGCTAAAATGGCTGGTTTTTATTGAACAGGCCATCAAGAGCAATGTTTACACAGTTTATAGGTTTTTAGAGTCTTTTACGTCCAATACACATACAGACTTTGAGGTGGTTTTGGACAAGGGTGGCCAAACCCAGTGAAAATCGCTGCCAGGTCTTTTGGCAGTCAAACTGATTTCCCTTCAGGTCTGTGTGGCACTCAGTCCACTTTCCTTAGAGACATAATAAATTCAGTGACATCTTCTCTTAGAGATCTTAGAAGAAGCACTATCTTGTTACAGTTCTTCATGACTGTTGCAAGCAGCAAACATGAGACTGAATGTACAGAAGGTCAGAGGACTGTAAAAGTGCCCTGGAACACCTCTGATCTCCTCTAAGAGTTGGACAGGCTTGGAGGAACTCCAGTGTGGTGTCCATTGCCATTTGTGTGCCTCAAGCACTATTACTTTTTGAATATGACAGCAAAACTTGTTAATCCATTCTGTTGGCTCACATTTCAAATGCTCGTCTGCGCAAAATATTTTCTGTTTTCCTTCTACATTAACTATATGGTAGTTAAATATTTTTTTTTCCTAATGAGCTCAAGCCACAAGTAAACGTATAATTTAAGAGTGTGTTTCTAAGATGTATTCATGGATAATGCTTCTTTCAATATATCTCAGGTGGTGGAGGAAATATATTTGAAATAGATGAAATAGATGGCAACATTAAGATAAAGAACTCTCCAGACTATGAAAGCATGAATAAATTCAACCTTACAGTGAATGCAGTCAACAGTAAATCTGCCCCTTTCTTTCAGGTAAAAGTCTGTTATTGTAGTGAGTTTTCTATTCAGAGTGAATTTTGAACTAGTGGGAAGGAGATCTGTCAAAGATATTTATTGTACAGAATAGATTAGTCACCTAATCATACTTAGAGTCAGACTTTTGCAACCTTTGTCCTTGCTGAATAGTATTATACTCCATAATTACTGGAAATATTTCAAAATCGTGCATGATGGAATTTGACCCTAAATTGTTTGCAGACTGTATCAGGGAACTAGAATTCTTGCCTGCTGCTGTTAGTACTTTAAGCGCTGTGAAAATTTTTCATGGGAGAGAAAGTAATTTTCAGGAAATTGTTCTAGTTCTGCTGTATTTCTTTTATTCAGAAAGATACTACATACTTTTATTTAACAGTACTAGAACATGTGTGGTTCCTGTAACTCTAGCAGCTGTAGTAGGACATGTTGGCCTCTTAAATACATCCCATTCTTACTCATTCAGACACCTTTCAAGATGTAAATCCTACTGCAACATTGAAATCTTCCCTTTTTTGTATTAATATCCTGTATGCTGAGTTAACAAAATTAAACACAACACACTATTTTACTACAGCATCTGTGTAGCCTGATGTAGTTGAGAGGTGTCCCTGCCCATGACAGGGAGGCTGGATTAGATGATCTCTAAGGTCCCTTCTAGCCTAGGCCATTCTAGGATTCTATGATCTGCAAAGTCCGTTTTATACTTTTTGTTGCATATGTGGCTAAATCAGACATTCTAAATATTCTAAAATGCATGAAACCATTTTGTTTTCTAGGAAACTACTTATGTCACTGTTCTAGTGATTGATGTGAATGATAATGCTCCAGTGTTTGCTCAGAATTCCTATTCCGCTTCTATAAACATGATTAATCCTGTAGGTGCTCATGTCATAACGGTGACCGCTACCGACAAAGATCAGGTAACCACTCCTGTTTGATTTTGACACTGCTTTAAGCTGCAACCCAAATAGGCTTTCCTCTGTTCTTGTCCTGATTTGAGCAAAACACTTCTCCAGGCATAAAATACCAAATGTAGCAGAAAGTGAATTCTGATTGACTAACAGCACTGGGAATTGGAAATTAGGTCTCTTGATGTTTCTGCCTTGACATTGATGTACTCCCCGTCTTTGGGCATGTCAGCTATATTTGCCTTAATTTTTCCCTTTATTACATGAAGTTGTACTGGTCTTTCAGAAGTATACAAGGACTGAAGCAATTGAGTGTCTTTTACTTCAGAAATTCAAGTGGATTCAAAGCTAGGCATCAAATTGAACATGGAAGTGTTAGCTTACCAAAAGTCTCTGAAGTCTGGTACCCCAGCTAATTCCCACTGTCCCCAGTTTTAAAACCAATTTTGTTCAGTATCTCTCTGCGGCACTCATCCAGGCACCAGCAGAGATATCCAGTAGTCGATAAGGTCACCATGACAACATCACCAATAATTATAGAATTTAAAAGACAAAACATCTAGAAGTGACAAGATAGGTGTAGTAGGTGCCTTCCTATTGCTTCACACGCCGTTTTGGTTAAAATAGCTGCAGCTGTGATATGTTGCCACAAATAATCTGGCAGCGCCTTTTTTAACCATCCTTCTCAATGATTTTATATAAAAAGTGAAATTGTTGAGGAAAATTGCTGGACTCTGAGAGATCTACACTGAGACCCTGCCTGGTCCTCTGCCATGCAGAGTGGCCCTCATCCTCCCTGTGCCACCTTGTCAGGATTCTGGGGCAGAGTCCAACACTGAAGGCATTAGACTTTGTCCCTGTTCCTGAAATAATTATAAATCTACAGATTACTTAGGGACAACAGATGTTCGCGGTAGGGCTTGATCCTGCTGCTGCAGAGCCATGGAAGTACAGAACGCAACGCTTTTCAGAGATACAGAGTGAAGTGCGACAGAGCGAACCCCAGGGGTTTGTCAGAACGGCTTTTCTTGGGAAAGTGAAGTGATGTGCGTAGAGTAAAACGTGTCAGGCGCTCCTGTGGCAGGCAGGAGTAGGGCTCACTCTCACAGCAGTGGGGAGGCCGTGCTTCTCCTCAAGGCATGAACAGGATCCAAGGGACTTTGGCTTATTCTTGTTGACATCACACCTTGAGATGATTCTCTTTCACTACTCTGATTGTCCCTCTCCACATGTGTCCTTAACTTATTTTCCTTAGAGATTTATTTTTTTTCTTCACATTTTTACTGTGTAACGGGCCAACTGCTTGTGACTTTTCTTCTGCTTTGTGTTTTTATCGCACCCATCCTACCACAGCTAACCCCAAGTTTTCATTCTCAAAATAAATTCACCATTCTCAAATTCACGAGAGACGTTTAGACATTGTCAAATCTCCTGCTTCAGTGTTTAGCCTACCTTGCAAAGTTTACTCCCAGTGCGTGTAGTTTTCTTTAGTATCGCTATGGGATTTTTTTTTTTATCTTTGAACATTAAAATTAATTTGCGGGAATCAGGGGGCTCTGCTCTTGTGTTACAGCTTGAGCTCAAAGTAGCTTTGAGCCTGGTTCTAGCTATTTAAAACACCTCTGGCATTCTGTCGATTTAACCATGGAAATATTCAGATTCCAGCAAGTCTTGGGGCACTGAAATCATGTGGTCCTGCAAGCAAGAATTTCATGAAGTTGCTCTCCTTTCATGGCAGGGGCAAAATGGCCTTATTGAGTACTACATCCTCCCAGATCAAAACTCCAGCCAGTTCTTCCTGATAGAAGATATGAATGAGGGGAAAATAATTACTACTGGAAATCTGTCTAGATCTGGAGAGATCCGCCTAACAGTGATGGCTAGGGACAGAGGCTCTCCATCTTTAAATGACACTGCTACAATTACTCTCAACGTGTCCGAAAACCGTCCATTCGTTCCTCGGTTTAATGAGAGCGAAATCAGGTGAGGCTTTCCTATTGAGTTATATAACTGGTGCATATTCTCCAGGTAGTGCAAAATGCACTCAAAGTCAGTGAGCTCTAGCAAACAACTAGGGGAGGGGCAGGATTTTCCATAAAGAACTCGCTCTGAAAGAGTAGTATTTCAAAGCCTGCCAATGCAACAACTACTCAGACATTTAACATTATGATTTATCATTTATTTTCTGTATTAGTGTATCTGTTTTGGAAAACACAGGAGTGGATCACTTAATTTATGTTTTTGCTGTGGTTGAAACTTTGGGAACAGCGATTGATTACAGAGTTGTATCTGGCAATGAACAAGGTGAGTAGTGTTTCCCTTACTAAAGTAACAGAATAACCTGTCTTTTGTGTGGCTGATGTTGCTGTATGCAAATGAGGAGATGGAAAGCCAGGATAAAACTTTGTGTCATTTAAAAAAAAACCAAACAACAAAACCCACAAATTGCAAAAAGAATTTCTTTCAGAGCTCTTCAGCATGGACTTATTAGTCTTTGGCTAAAGAGAGTGCTATAACTTGCTGGAAAATGGGTTCCTGTGGTCTTAAGTGAGGATGATTTGCAGGCTGAGGGAGCCAAAATAGAAGTCGTAGCTAGCAAGCAGCTTCCTCCCTGTCAGTCATTTCTAGTCTATCATTTCCTTGCATTTGCACCTACATCAGGGCATCTGCCCTCCGCTTTTTTTGACTGTGCTGCGACTGCATTTGGCAAACACAGGAAAAAATAGTTAAAAACTGTGAGCAAACCTGAAAATCGGTGAAAAAGCAGGTGTGCAACTAATAGGTACAATTCTGTTTTCAAAGCGTGTTGTTCCTTTACATGTTTAAAGCCTGTTTGGTCTGGGACAGGACCCCAGCTGTGATGCCTTTGCTGTTCAGCCGGTGGAAGTGTTGTTGCATTTCACATTCTTGAGAGCAGAGGACTCATGGCAACATCTTAAGAGCAACTAAGACACAAGAGGTAGGAGGGGACACAAGTGAAATGTTAGCTATACCAACTGAAGTGCATGTTTTTCCTTTCAGGCCATTTTAGATTGGATCCAGAAAGTGGTCAGCTGAGAACAGCAATTAATTTGAACTATGAGGAAGTTTCTCAGTATGTGGTTTTAATTGAAGCAAATGATAACCTCTCATCTGCCGCAGAAGTCCAGCTTTCAGGTAACTTTTTGCTTTGAAGCACATTCTCAACTTAAATTGGGGCAATGACGCTGCCGCAAAGCCACCGCCTGAGCTGCCCTTTGGCAGTTGTGCCTTGCTGGTGTTTGTTGCTGCAGTTAACTCGTGTTTGTTCAACAGGACTGTTTGCTCAAAACGTGGCAATGCTGACAATCTCAGTGCAGGACGTAAATGAAGAGCCGGTGTTTTTGAATAATGCCTACTCCGCTCGGATACCGAGCTCTGTGCCGTACAAGTACCCGGTTATTACAGTTCAGGTGGAGTATATCTCTGTGCTCTTTGTGAGGGTAGAAATCTTTGGAAAGGTTTGGATTTGTTCCACAGTTAAACTGTGTTAAAGGAGCTGTTAAATCTGCTCTTGAAAGCTTGAGACTGATTTTGCCTGTCATCCAGGTTTAACATGGCGCTGGTGAAGGATGGGGTGTTTAGGGAGCTGGTCTGTGGGTCTGTCAGAAGAGCTATTGCAGTCTGTTCTGACTCATGCTGTTGTTGTGGATTATATACTGCACAGGCTGTAGTTCTCTCTTTGGCACCATCAATCACTTTGTTATCTATCAGCCCCCAAACGGAAATGAATCACAAAATTGAATATTTATCGTCTTTTCCTAAGTCTGGTGTTAGCCCTCTGTTCTAGCCTGCTGCTCCTAGGCTTGCAGCTGTAGAATCCTTCAGACTTTATGGTAAATGTAATTTGCCATTGGTCCCTTGGTCTGATTCTGATAGTTCATGCCCCACTTTTAGAACAATGAGAAAAATATGACAGCGCTGTCCTGGAATACTCCAGTCTTACAAATTGAAACTGCAGAGCTTACTGGCTGAAGAGCAATGTGCTGCCCAAAAGCCACAAAGTGAGTTTCACACGTGACCCCTTTTTCAAACCCAGGCCACAGATCCAGATTCAGGAGACAATGGACTTCTGCTGTACAGCTTAGTGAATAATCAAAGGAGTGAATTTGACATTGATGAAAATACAGGGCAGATTTTTACAGTCTCTGTAGCAGGAAAGACTGGAACATTTTATCTGGAAGTCGAAGCTGCAGACCAAGGCACAAGAAGACTCACAGCCCGGACAACAGTCAACGTAAGTGAGATTGCTATTTGTAGTCTTGATTTGCTTCCATGTCCAAACTCTACAGAGAGGCTACATTTGGTGATGACAAAAAAAATACTTAGCACCATACAGTGAGAGTGTCAGATACACCAGTATTTACTACATACTTTCAAGCCAGAATTATGAGGTTGCTGTTTCCATGGACATGTAAAAATATATTGGCATGAAGACTGAATTTTAGAGATCAATTATATCCAAGCTGGGTTTTTTCTGTTTTGTTTTTTTTTAATCATTACTATTATTACTTATTATTTGTTTTGGTTTTTAAAGTCAATCTAAGAGAGGTTACAAATGCTGTAGAAAACCTTACATGTGATTCCTTTCCTTTATTAGGTAACCATTGATTCCAGTTCCAGTAACAACATTGTGGTGATGGTACTTAATCAGAAGATCAACGTTGTTGAAAGAAACAGCGCTGAAGTAAAAAGGTATTTCGGAAACTGTGAAGCTTATTGTGATACAATAACTGATGACACATTTAGAGTCCCTTTGAGATAGGGATCTGACAGCCTATGGAGGAGGCGATACAGCCAGTGCCCGTGAAAAGCTAGGCCTTCGGTTTGATGCCGTTCAAAATAATTTGAGGGAATTCACAGGAATTCACCAGTTTTTACCTGGTGAGGCTTTGGCCTGAGCTGATGAACATCAAACAGGTTACTGGACCAGACGATATCATGAGGGCTCTTCCCACCTCACTGGTTCTGTGATCTTTATTTAACAACTAGGATAAAGGTTTTCATGGGTAGAAGGCTCAAGATACAAATGTGGGGAGACACAGGACAGAAGCCACAAACCAAACTCACCTTTGCTACAGATGAAACAATCCTCCTTGTAGCACATCAGCAAATCTTCTCAAGGAGGTCTCAGTGCCACGGTGTGAATGGCCACGCAACAATCAAAAACATATTTCGGCCTTTTTGGCATGTTAATGAAAATACAAGATTTTTTGTTTGGTTATATGTAAAAGTATATTGGAAATATTGAGTCCTGTGCTTTTGAGGGGGAATCATTTTGAAGGCTGAAAAAATGAGTTTGTAATGTTGATGCTCTTATGGCACCATTTTTTGCTGCTAAAAATTAAATGGAAACCCTAGACCTGCTCTGCTGCTTTCTTTGAAGCAGCTGGTACTAACTGCTGTCAGAATGATGGATGAGCTGTACCAATGGTCCCATCCAGTGTGAAAAAGGAGAAAACAATAAGGATTATGGGACTGAATTCCCCTTCTTCCCACCTTTACTGTTTATGATACTCTAAAGGTATCACTGCCTGTATTCATAAAAAATAACGTCAAGCATGAAAGGAGCCATATGTCACTCTGAAAAGCATGTGTAAATATATGACATACTATGCAACGTCGGTTATGAAATCTAGGCATAAGTGATGGGGCTTTTAACTCCTTCTTCCTCTAATTAATTGTTCAGTTATGCTAATGGCAACTACCTAAGAATTTTCAGGCTATGTACAAAAGTTAAATAGCATCTACTAATGAAAAGTGTATTTGCTTTTCAGTCAGAGACAAGAACTGGATTTTTTTTTTCTCTGCTACTCAATCGCTCAACAATATTGGGCAAATAACTTAATTCCCTTGCTGGTGACAATCCTGTATTTTTACACATTTAGATTAAACCACTAAGTATCTGCAACATGGTGTATTACGTACTACTTTTCTATCATTTTATTTCCAGAACAAAAGAATTTATCATTGCCCAGTTAATTGAAAATGTTTTCTTAATATGATGGCAGGGTCCTGGAAGATAAACTTACGTGGAACGTATACATCATTGACGTCGACTCCAATGAGTCTGAAAGAAAAGCAAGAAGCACCACTGATGTAACCTATGTAAAAATTATTGCTTTTGATGATGCAAACCAGGAGGTACCTGCAGAAGATGTAAAAAGGTCCGTATGGCACAGTCTGTCTTCCGGGTGTCAGAGCTCCCCTAGCTAGGTTTTGTTTCCCTTAAAATTATTAATGTCTCGGACAGGTTTAGAACAAGTAACATTTTATACGAGACTTACTTATCTCAAGCCTTAAATGGAATTTTTAGATTCAGAAAGCTTTCATTATTCACTGAAAGGTAATTTTCACTTTGTAAAAGACGTGATTAAGGCTTTTCCTCTGAGGAAAGCATTATTGGTATTTGTATGTGGATTTAGAGGCCACTGACTTCTCAAGTTCAATTTTCTGAACTTTGCAGCATTCTGACTCGTAAGCACCAGGGCTGGTTGCTAGAAAATGAGTTTTTCCCCTTTGGAAAAGGTCTTGGTGGACCAGGGCACTGTATTCTGTTATTTTTCTTTGCTATTCTTCAAGTCAAAACAAAGGCCTGAAAAATCATCAGCATTTCATTTGTCTATCTTCAGAAAACTTAGGGAGCAGAAGAGTAAAATTGAGACGGAACTGGAGGCGGTATTTTCAGCATCAGTTATTGCTGAAATAGAAGAGACTCCTGCAGACTCAGCAACTCCTGAACTCATTGCAACAATCGTGCTTGGGGTTCTGCTAGCCTGCACTCTCACGGCCTTCCTGGTATACGTAGTTATTACCAAAAAGAAAAAAAGGTATAAATAGTTTTGCTTTAACTATCCAATTTAGGCTTGCACCTAATAAGCTTACTTTAAATGTCAGCTTGAAAAATACTTATGTCATAAAGTACTGATGTTTGTGTAAATCAAACGGCCTGGCCTTGTACGGTAGATATTAGACGCCCTATGTGTAAGTGACAGTTGGTTTCTTCTTGTGTTTCGTCACACAGCAAGAGCAGAAATACTTTTTAAAGCAGAGAAATGTGGATAGTGGAAATTTTAACTGTGAAGAGGAGCACAAGTAGCTGTAATATCCCCACATAAGTCTCCTCTAAACCTGTGAATGCTGAAAACAAGGGAGGTTTTGCTGCTGACTTCAGAGGCAGCAGGACCGCCCAGCAGAGGAAAACAAATACGTTTCCAGGAGGGCAGTGGGTACTTACCCTGTTACCATAACAGAAAAATAGGGAATACTCCAAACTAATCCTCAGGATGATACTGAAAATAAAAGTCGTGTATTAATCTTATGACACAAGTGCTTCGTGTTCAGTTCTTCAAACAACTATAAAGCCAATCTTCAAAAGGAATGAACAGTTTAATGTATTTATTTTCAGAAAGTATTATCAACAACATTTGGTTAAGCAGCAGGCTGAAATTACCGGGGGAATTGATAATCTGTATGCAGCTGACCAAAATGGAAGTCGGACAAGCGTAGGGGAACTAGAGCACACGAATAATGTGTAAGTAGAATGCTGGTATCACACATCTGTAAAAACCACAAATTAAAAGATGTGGTTCTAATTTATTCTGGTAACATAGGATTTTCCTTGTATCTTTCACTGGTGTATAGGTCGATTTTTAAGACTGTTTACAACTGTAAATTAAAAACTCTACACAAGCTAATACCTTTGAATCTTGTATTGACAATTACAAGGGCAAATTCCTACTTTAATCTTTAACAAATCGTTAAGCTTTATGCAGAAAAAAACCATCAGGATACACAAAGCTACTGGGCAAGATGCCAGTAATTTTGAGATCAGTGTACGTACAGCCCTGCATGTAGAGGGGCTGAGATTTCTGTCACTTAACTATTTGCAAACTTACAGTATATGAATTCTCTTAACCCGCTTTCAGAGAAACTGAAGCAATAGTGTTCAGCAACAACAGATTCATGACAGGAGGTGATACTGGCAAAGATGTACTTCGGGATGATGAAGAACAGAGTTACCTTGAGACATATTACAAAGGTGAACATAAAGAAAATGTAGCATCTGAAAAATCCGCTGAACCTAGAACTGTAAATGCCCAGCCTGCTGCAGAATTCACGACAAAACAGGTAATTGGCTTTTCAATTGCAAAGAATGGTGTGGGGAAAAAAAGTGAAGTTGTGATGGAACTAAAAAAAAAAAAGGGGCAACCAACTTCTGTGAAATAATGAAAATCTCTGAGGAGGAAGCGAGTTTGTCCCTGCTTAGGATGAGGAAGACTTTGTGATCCCAAGGAGAATGGTGCCTCTTTTCCATCTTTTCCAGAATATGTAAAGGGTTCTCATGGGCTGCTCCAAAAACTTGCAGCCTTGAAAATGATGCTTTCTTTGTGAGCATCAAGTTATGAAAGTTGTACAACTTCTTCTGCTTAGAATTTGTCCACACTCTACCCTTTGTAGCTTTCTGCCTCATCCGTGCTGTTTTCTTGCAGGACTCCTTTCTCACAGGCGGAAATCAAGGCTCAGCTTTTTCCATAACCCCTGATCTCAGAGCGCACACCTCTGATAAAGAACTGAGAGGAGTGAAGTTTTCAGAAGTGGCAATTATTTTGGACGCAGAGCCTCAAGCTGATGATTCTGATGATGACGATCCTCGTGATAATTAGCCTGATATCAATGATGTATTTTTTGTTGACTAAGAATGCATGATAAGGAAAATTTTTAGGCAAACCCCAGTGACACTCACTGGAACAGTAGAGAATTAAACAAGCTGTCAAGAATATGGGCGTTCTGTCCACATTTTAGTTCCCGCTGCTCCTGGTGTTGGTGGTGCGGGCGATGGGCAGGACGGGCAGGGCTGTACGCGGGGCTCTTTTCCCCGTTTCGTACCGCGCGTGCGGAGGGGAAGCCAATAAACCCG